CCAACGACAAGCGCTTATCCATCTGCGGCACTGGAGCTGATGTTTTACAGCCACTTTTAACTAAATGTAAATATATACTCCGTATTTTTTATTCCATAGTAAGGACAATTCATACAATACATTTAAACTGAGCTACTTTAATACCATCTCCGATCTTTCTACCACGACTCTGCTGTTATTCGGCTGGTTCTTCCTGTATACGTTGATTGACAGATGTCTCGTCCAGTCAGCGGTGAGTAATCCCAACCCAATGGCGCCGTCTCAAACTATACCTACCTCTTCCGGTTTGTCTGATTTGTCGTTGTGTTTTCTGACTTATTTTGTTTTCGAATTTGTCATTGTGTTTTCTGACTTGTTATAATGCTTTCTGAATTGTTGTTGTGCTTTCTGAATTGTTATTTTGTTTTTTAGACTTGCATTTGCGTTTGTAATTTGTTATTTTGTTTTCAGAATTGTGATCTGCTTTGCACTTCTCGGCCACCGTACAGAGTAGATCACTGTATCAAAAACTTTGAAGCAACAAGCGCATCCCCAGTTTTAAAATAACCGCCTGTTAAAGCACAGCGCACTTACCTGCAACCACCTCAACACAGACAAAAAGGGGGAAGCCGGACGTGACGCATCCCAGGCAACAGCCAATCAGCCCTTAACTTGAAGATACTACTCGCTGATAGGCAAACATTGCTGTCAATCACCTAGTCCTGTTACATTCGGCATCGTGAAGCACTTTTTTAAAAGGGGTCATATGACATTGCTAAAAAAGAACATTATTCTGTGTAATGAAATGTGTTTATGCGGTTTAAGGTAAAAAAAAATCCCACATTATTTCCCACATACTGTACATTATTGTTTCTCCTCTATGCCCCGCCTTTCTGAAACGCGTCGATTTTTACAAAGCTCATCGGTCTGAAAAGCGAGGTGTGCTGTGATTGGCCAGCTATCCAGTGCATTATGATTGGCCGAATACCTCAAGCGTGTGACGGAAATGTTACGCCCCTTACCATACTGTGATGCCATGTCCCGGAACTACGAGACAAAACATTAAAACCCCTAAAAAAATGTTTCCAAAAATATATGATTTTTAATTTTTACATTTGAAATCTAGGCCTGACATTAATAAAATCAAAGCAGTGAGGCAGTGAGTTTTATGTAATTTTATTATAACTTCCTCTGCTGTTTAAAAATAAAAATTATAAAATAAACTACAAAAAAAAAATTAAAAGTTTTGATAAATGTTACATCTCAAGTTCAAATGTACAAAATTGTAATTCTCCAGTCTCCACATTTGCTAAAATGATTTCAAGTTAGTTTATTTGTTCAACAAATAATCTATATTGTAGTGTGACAATAAGCAGTGACAACACACTTTGTAAAATCCAGACACTTTTCTGCATTTGTATATTTGACACAAACTATATAAGACAAAATAAATAATATGCTGCATAATAATAAGTACACAAATCAAGCAGTTAACCCACATTTCTTCAGAAAATCCTCCAGCTTCTGCACATTCTTTGGTTTTCCAGCATCTTCTGCATTTTTTAACCCTTTCCAAGTGATTTTGATATCCATTTTTCACACTGAAGTCATTACAAAAGGTGAAAACAATGACTAATTCTGAAAAAGGAATCATGATGTATTAATTTAAGCTATAATTTTGTCTTGCAGACTATATGTTAATATTTTTTTATGTGAAATAGCTTAATTGGGACATTGCTTTAAAAAAATGAACTTTTTACGATCCTTATTATGTTAAAATTATTACCATTTTGCAGATTCTGCAAAGCATATGTAAACTTCACAACTGTATAAAAGGAAAACCAAAGCATTTATTTTACATGCTGTAGCCTAATACTATCTGCAAAGTTTGCCATGATTGTATTGCATGATTGTTATAATAAGCAACACTGTGCAATTGAATAGATCAATCTTATTTCTCACTAAATTAACTTGATTATATATATAATCAGACATATTCTGACATATTCTGTATGTCTCTCTTATCTGACACACTCAGTTCAGTTCATGAAGTCTCTCCTAACGAGCTGATGATCTGAATCAGGTACTGTAAGGTTTACAGGCACTTTGATACAGACATCTGTTTCCACATCTCACTGAGAGAATATGTGGGAAAACATCTCTCTCACCTATGCATTAGTTCCTTTTCATCACCTTCCTTCCTCTTACCCATTCTCCCTCCACTTAGCTCACTCAGAATGGTCAATGGTATAATTTGAATTGTCTTTGTGCGACTGGTACAATGGTCTCAATCTTACAAGAAGTAGACTAAAAGGTCATACAGATCCTAAGAGTTTAGAGATTATGCTGCTTACTCTAGAGGGTGTGCCATTTCCCAGGCTTTAATACAAATTACAATCTGTCCCCAAAAGGTGTGAACTCTACTTGATCAATGCAAAATTAAATTATTAGTTCCTGTTTCCATTTGGAGAATGTTTGACTTGGTCTGAGGTACTTAGCCTAAGTGAAAGCTGCAAGAAGATCAGCGCGATTCTGTAGCCAAAAGAGCCTGTAGTACAGTGTACTTATTGTGTTCATATTGTATTGCAAAACACTTTTGCTGCTATTGAGGTGGGTCAACAGTGTAATTGTAAAATGTAATAACCTAGAACAGTGTTTCCCAACCTTTTTTTAGTCGCGGCACCCTTTGGAAAAATTTTAACAAACTTGCGGCACCCTACAAAATTAATTTTGTCACAATATTTGAATTTCTAACTTCGATATGATAATTTGAAAAGTGTAGATATTCGGTACAACAGGGAAGAACTGCAGAATATAATGTCATACAGATATTTTTTATATTATAAAAAAAATTTGTCCATCAATGGTGGAAATCAGTAGGCTAATTTCAAATGAAGAGACCAATTTATATGACAGATTTTAATGTAGGCTTTTATACATATGTAAACATTATTTAATTACCATTATAACTAGCTATCTCACAAATTTTTGCTCACTCAAGTGTTTTTCAAATTTTACAGTGTGGTCATTTTGGTGCAGTAGCATTAGATAGCTTGATTTCAAACTTTGATTTGAATAAAATTTCGGTGCATCTCTAATTATTGGCGACATCAGAAATGGATATTATATAATAGCTGCTTTTTTTAACATATTAGCAATTTCAAAATGGCACCCCTGCTCTCGACAGACAGCACCCCGGTTGGGAAACACTGACCTAGAACACTGTTTAATACTGTTTAATTGGCTGTTCTGTCAATTCTTCGTCATCATTTAGGAGCCTAGGTGTGCTATTTGATAGCAATCTCTCCTTTGAAAGCCATGTTTCTAACATTTGTAAAACCATATTATAATGTTTATAATATATCTAAATTACGACCTATGCTCTCAATGTAAAATGCAGAAATGTTAATTTATGCGTTCATGACCTCAAGTTTAGATTATTATAATGCTTTATTGCATCACAATTTAATAAATAAACAAAATTATAAAAAAAAAAAAAACTCAAATAAAAAAAAATAATTGCCTCTTTACTATTGTCCTTGTTTTAGAGCTGCTTTACAGCAGATTTGAATTTTGTTTGCATTTATTGACACAATTTTCCTGTTAAAACGGCAAAGCCGCTTTGACACAATCTGTCTGGTATAAAGCGCTACATAAATAAAGACGACTTGACTTGATATACTGTTCCCATAAGGAATTAAACTCTTTCTTCAGAATTTCTTAATAACCATCTTTAGATAAGTTTTGCTATTTTTTTCTGTGAATCAAGATCTGAGCATCAATCTTTTTCTTCAGGTCTCGCTCCTGAAGAATCTCATTTAATTTCCTCTTTGTTTCTCTCACTATGTTTTCCTTAAGTTCTTTGATTTTGATTTCAAATGATGTTTTCCACTGAATTAGTATATTTGCATCTTTGTCTTTCTCAAAGAATTCTGACATTGATTTTTTCACTTCTTCACTTGTCTTCTTCAGTTCTCTTTGAAGATCAGTCTCCTTAATCTCATGAATATTTTCATTTTCTTTTTGATAGTGCAGTTTTTTCTCAGTTTCAATCATGGCACTGTGAAGAATGCAGGACCATTTGTTATATTCGGTCTCCAGTTTCCTGTAGGCTGAAATCTCCAGAGAATTTCGGAAGAAGAAGACAAATTGTTCATTCAGTAAAGCCTCCCAGAGATCTTCAATTTGCACTTTTAGGTGTGTCAATGTCACACCCTGTGAGGCATGAGACATAATATATTCCTTTAATTCCTGAATGTTCTCACAGTAGTTTGGGTTTGGTGGTGCCATTGGTGGGCTGCCCTCCCAGAGCTGAGCAAAATACTTCACATCATTCTGAACATCAAATTCAATGACATCATTGAAACATCCTGCATCCCAGACTTCATCTTCAGCAGCAAGTTTTGTCATCTCATCCAGTGTCTCCTGCAGTCGCCTCCTTCCCTCCATGTTTTTCTCTCCAGCGGTGACGTCTGAAACGTTCTGATGCACAAACACACAGCTGGGATTCAGTCTGACCTTTTTCATCCTGATGAAGGCCTGAGCAACGATTTGAAGAATGTCCTGCATCTCAGATGGGTTTTCTCCAAAAATGTTGATCAAGGTCAGATTTCCAATTCCAACAACAAATGTGGCCAATTCATTGTCATGATCTCTTGTAGATCTTCCAGCCAGTTCTAGAGCTCCAAGACCCTCAGTATCAACAACCAGAATATAGTCAACATTCATCTGTGTTTTCATCTCGTCTGAGACTCTGACCAGCTGCATGAAAGCTCCTCTGGTTGTTCTGCCAGCACTGACGGCAAACTGGAGTCCAAACATGGCATTTAGCATGGTGGATTTCCCAGAGCTCTGAATCCCTAAAACTGACAGCACAAAGACACTCTGGTCTCCCAGTTTCTGGATGAGTTGATCTAGAACAGCAGAGATCCAGATCAGAGGAACATGAGCTGCATCTCCATCCATCAGCTCCAGTGGAAATCCAGAGATCATCATCTCTGCTGCAAGACTCGAGAGAGAAGAGAAGTGAATCTTCAGGTCTTTCTTGTTCTTCTTCACAGATGAACATGATTCATAGATCTGACCGATCTCCCTCATGATGTGCTCCACACCAAAGGTTGCAGCTTGAAGCTCCTCAGATATCTTCTCAAGTTCATTTTGTTTAGCTTTATGTTGTTCAGATTTATTACTGCCGTCTTTCAGTTTCAAAACTGCTGACCATGTTTCATCATATTTGTGAAGAAGAGCAGAAAGGTCACTTGATATATGTTCATCCAACAGGATTCTGAGCCATTTAATGAAAAACATCTTTTCATGTTCAGCATCTGTGTTCATTTCTTTAATGAACAGCTTCACAAACTCACTTATATCAGATTCATGCTGTTGTTCACGGATTTTCTTCATTTCTGATTGTTTTCTACTGATGTCTATGTCTTTCTCTTCTACTCGAGGTCGATGTAGTTCTTTGTTCTTCTGACTCCACTGATGCCACAGTTTTCCCTGATGAGGCATAAATGATTCTTTGATTTCTGTCAGATGTTTCTTCTTCAGTGAATTCATAATCTGCTGTGCTGCTGCTCTTCCTCTCCTGCAGTCATCATCATCTTCCTCATCTACTCTGATATCTGAGTGTTGAGACACATCTTCAAGTCTGAAAGTGAAAGATGATTCCGAGAGACAATCATTTATAGTTTTTATGAGTTCTTTAGATACATCCGACTGATTTCTGTATTTCAGACCGATTTTGAATTTTCTTTTCTTCATCTTCATTACAGTTGATTGATCCTCAGTAAGAAGACAAATGAGTGGCTTTTTGTTTCCAAACAGGTTATTCATCATTGCTGCACTTCTGTCATTCTTGTCCAGTTGTGGCAAAAGAACAACATTGACTGAGGCCATTTCAGTGAGGATCTGCAGCTGTTTCTCATGGTCTCCTGCATCACCGTGTAGATTACAGAAGGCAACACAGTCAGTGAATTTATCTGTGTTTTTCCCAGAGGGGCAGAACCAGGCAATCTCCACCACTCCATCCATCAGGACCCTGTTTCTGCTGCTGCCTGGGCAGTTCCTGTGGAAGAACGTGTTGTGTTTCTCATTGATCAGACTGTTCATCAGCTGAGACTTGGATGAAGACACAGAACCAAACCTGAAGAAAAACACCATTGGAGTTTGTGTATTGTAGATCGGCTGGGTTTGACTGATGATCTCATTATCATTGTTTCTCATCTTCCAGCTCTTGTTGATTTGTCTGAATGTCCAGAGAGGAAACTCAATCTGTTGTGTGAAGTGATCAGGAACAAGCAAAGGCAGAGCATACTGACACTGGGACAGTTTAGTCACCATCAGCTGCTTCAAGAAACCATCAGCACAATGAAACACGGCCATCTGAACATCCATCGGGTGAATTCGCTCAGATTGACTTGTTACTGTGCTTGACAAAGAAGTGTTGTGAAGAACATATTCAAAAAAATCACCCTCATCTTCAGACGAGTCAGCATCTCTTTGTTGATCCTGTTCATTTGTCTCTTTAACACTGATGTATCTTGCTCTGTAGTCCATCATCAGTATTTTTTGTAGGAAAGTCTGAACCAGCTCCTCTTCAACACAAGACTCATGAGACTGTAATGAATGTTCAGTTATCTGAAGAACATCTGCAGCTCTCAATTTATTGTGGCGCCTGCCTTCAAGACTAAGTTTGTGAAATAGATGATGTATTTTATCTTGATCAGATTTGACTTCTGCTGTACCAACATCCTTGTTTTCTTTCTGTTTAATAGACAAAACAACAATTATTTTATCTGGTGTTTTCCTTACTGATTTAAACAGAACTGTCATTTCAGATTCTATACTATTGTATGCATGCAGTACTCTGAGTTTTCTCTGAACACTCACCTGAACTGAATGATCTGTTTCAGTGCACATTTTCTTGACCTCCTCCTTCACATTTTCATATCTTTCTCTCCCCCCTTTCTTTACACCTGGAAATGACATTATTCATGGTTGATCTGATCACAAGCCTTCAGGCAAGACAGACAGCTTATTAACAGACTGACCTATAATGATTTTTTTTTTTTTTACAACCATTTAACAATTATTTGTATGTTTACATGTCCAATAACAGATTAGCAGATATTTGCCAATACTTTGTTTACCCAACTTTACTTGTGTAGTGAACAGCGGTCAACATGACAAAGCCCCCTTCCAATGGGCCTCATTCATGAAACTTGCATAAATGCGTAAATTGTGAGTAATTTGCGAGTAAAACAGACCTTTCCGAAAACTTTCCTCCGGATTCACAAACGCTTCGTAAACGTCCGATTTGATAGTTAAACATGTGTATGTTAATGAATTCTAATCATTGGTAAATAGGGCACTCGTGCACGCTCATTCACAATTAGCATAATCCCCGCCTATGAATTACAGCTACGTAAATTGCGTGTCCAGGAACACAGTGGAATATTCTGGTCTACTTTCTCAGGTTTGGCTCCAGTATATTGCATAAATGCAAAAAAGACTAATAGGCCATATGCCAAACAATAAATATTCAATAACGTGTGTCCACCAAAGAGTTTTTAGCCAGCTGAAAAAATGTCAGGTGCTCTTCTTAAAACGACCAGCTGGTGGCGCTTGAGAACACTTTGGTGGCACAGCGTTTTTCCTTAGTAGCTATGATTTGGAATATCCATGGCGACAATTTATTACTAATATCTCGTTTTTACGAATTTTACTACATATAAAAAAGCAGTAACCAGTAATATTGAATTTTTCATTGTTGTAGGCAGTCGTACAAGCAGGATGGTTGGTCGCTATTTGTCCCACCCGTCCTCTATTTACGGCTGGGTAAATAGTGACAGTGACGAGCGCTGCGTTTTACAGTTATCAACTCAAAAAAATAAAAAATAATAATTTTCAGAAAGAGGGCAAGGGCAACTGAACGTGTAATTATGGCAGTGCATCAAACTTCAGTGTCATCAGTTTGCCAAAAAGAACAGAACGTTTTACGCAGCATTTACACCTTGTAAGGAGCAGGTGTACATTTCTTTCATACCAACTAACATTTTGAAAATACAAACATTTTCATGAATTCGAAAGTTTATGTCAGAACAGCTTTACGAACGATTTACACAAAAATGCGTTCTGCTCGTGTTTCATGAATGAGGCCCAATGTGTGGAAAGATATTTTTTTACGTCATCAGGCTCTGTGGACAACAAAGGATGCCTTTTGCCTTAAGATAAGACAACACTACCTCTTGTGGAGAGGGGGGTTAATATTAACATATAGTAACCCCCGCACAGGAACTGCTTTATTCTCTGTTACTCTTATCAAAGTGTGAATGATCGTAAAATCCCCCTTACAGTTTGCCATGTGGCCAAAGCCACAAAGAAAAATAAAAGACATCTCCACATGCATTCACACGAAATGGACACATGATTGACTAAACCTTCCTCATATCAATTTACAGAACTGTATATACTTAAAGGGATAGTTCACCCAAAAGTGAAAATTCTGTCATTAATTACTCATGTCGTTCCAAACACATAAGACCTTCGTTCATCTTCGGAACACAAATTAAGATATTTTTGATGAAATCGGAGAGCTCTCTGACCCTCCATAGACAGCAACGCAACTGTAATGTTCCCAGGTCCAGAAACGTAGTAAGAACATCAGTAAAACAGTCAATGTGACATAAGTGGCTCAACTTAAATTTTGCGAAGCTATGAGAATACATTCAACAATTCTTCTCCCCCGAGTTACGTCTTCTGCCATTTTGGAGAGTACCCAATAACGTATTCGATGTAATCAGCATTGTTTATGCTTAGGGTAAAGCGTTCATATGCATTGTGATACTCTCTAAAATGGCAGAAGACTGTAACTCGGGGGACAACGATTGTTGAATAAAGTATTTTTTTTTCTTTGCACACAAAAAGTATTTTCGTAGCTTCGCAAAATTTAAGTTAAGCCACTGATGTCACATGGACTGTTTTATCGATGTCCTTACTATGTTTCTGGACTTGGAAACATTACAGTTGCATTGCTGTCTATGGGAGGGTCAGAAAGCTCTCAGATTTTATCAAAAATATATTAATTTGTGTTCCGAAGATGAACAAAGGTCTTATGGGTTAGAAACAACATGAGGGTGAGTAATTAATGACAGAATTTTCATTTTGGGGTGAACTAACCGTTTAATGAGTGCTGTATGTGATACAACAATATGCAACATACCTATTAAGGTATATACTGTACATATAATTGCATGGGTCAACACCCAGCATTATGCTGTTTGGTCTTCAAATTTTCGTAGGTTAATCTGGAATTGGTTTGGAAATTGAATGATGCATAGGAAAAACTTTAAAGACATTGTTCTAAACTTGGACTTAAAACTATGCAAATCGACCTCATATCAGAGAGGCCATATCATGGCCACCTCTGACAGCATCAGCCAATGAAAACGCTGGATCTGAAAGGCACCAACTTGCAGATCCCTCCTAGTTAGGGAAAGATTAAAAGGTTCTCTTCAAGACAAAGAAGTTGTACTAAGTTCTAAGTGGTGTGGTCCACCGTGTGCTAAGTGGCGTGGTCTACTGCTAAACCAAGAGCTAAGCTGCTAAGCTGCTCTGCCGGAGAAACGAGGAAGTTCTGCAAGAAACGAGATTGGGGAGTTTGGAAACTGCCACAGCAACAACGACCACAAGCTTAGTGCCCCCCATCTTCTGCAACAAGCGAGTTCCAAGCTGCCAGGATTTTCTCCAACGACCACAGAACCGTCCCTTCAACAATCCAAAGCTTGCGAGTTCCAAGCTGCCAGGATCTTCTGCAACGACTTCAGAACGTCAACGTCCACGATCCTCCCTCCTGCGTGTTCCAGGTAGTCCCTATCTTCTATACAGACTTCAGAACCTTCACCTTCAAGTTTGCGTGTTCCAGACCAAAAGACCTTCTCGGTGCTTAAGAGTTCATCATTAACCAGTGCTTCGGGTTCAAGACTGGAAACGGATCTAACTTCTCTCTTCCCACTATACAACGTGGCCCAGGTCAAAAGTGGAAGACGCCACTGCCCAGACGCGGAACGTAAATATATCACGCTTTCTAAACCTCTTTCCAGAGATCGTTGGCATTAGTGTATTTTCAGTCTATGATTATCTAATTTGCATTAGATTCTATATAACTGATACTTTGTTCATAACAAATATTCTTTTGATCTATTTGTTGAAACTAGAATAAGGTTTATCTTATTACTTCCAGGAAACTTCAGTTTATCTTTCCATAGCTGTCTCTGTGCTGTGATGCGGTCGGAAACCAGATTGAAAATTGTCCAGGTATACATTTGAGTTTAAGTATTTGTTCAGCTGAATAAAGACTACCTTTTCAATAATCTTGCCTATAAAAGGACAGTTAACCCTTAAATGCATGAATGTTTCGCCAATCATTCTTACATATTCTGGTCTTTAGCGACCCGGACCTAAATATCCAGCACGGATGGATCTCTAACTGCTGCAATAGCAACAAAACTCTCTTGATATTTTAAGAACAATTACAGAGGAAAAAAATAAAGCATAAAAGCATGTTACCTTTTGAAACTTAAAAGGGTGCATTTAAGGGTTAAGCACCCTTTTGAAAAAATATGTGGGAAGTGTGTCAAGATAGCAGGTTGATGATTTAAGGTGCTGTACTATTTCTTCCAAAATTTTGCTATCAATTTCTTCAAAAGCAGACATAGTATCTTCTTTTAGATATTGCGGTCGAATCTGTCTGGCCTCTGCATAACTTGGGGATGTGCCAATCGCCTTCCTGATATTATTGATCTCAGAAAAATAGGAAGCAAACTCATTGCATTTGCTGTCGGAGAGCATTTCACTGGCAATCCGGACTTGGGGGTTCATTTCCTTTACGGGCAAGTCTACAGACCAGGTGAAAATTAAAATGCTCTGTGACACTGGTACTTCTCAGTCTTTTGTGGTTGCAGGCGTACTGCCGTTTTCTGAACAGATTTCTTGTGGCAGTAATGTGTTGGTACAGGGTATAGAGATGGGACTCGTTAAAGTTCCATTACATCAGGTGCATTTGCAGTCGAAGCTTTGTACAGGGTTTGTGAAAGTAGGCGTTCATGAACGGTTGCCTGTGAAAGGGGTAGAATTTATTCTCGGCAATGATCTGGCTGGTGGGCTTTTCCCATATTGGAGGTTTCTGATAACCCTGTGTTGTTCGACCAGCCCAATGATTTGTCTAAGATGTAACCTGAGGTTTTTCCTGCTTGCGCCGTTACGCAGGCTCAAGCTCGTAAGAAAGATGACTTTGATTTGTCTTCCTCTTTTATTGAACCTATCTTTGCCAATGATGTTTTACTACAGGTCGAAGGTAAGGCTGTTGAGAAGTCTTCTCCTGTTAGTTTGAACTGTTTGAAGTTGCCTGTGACGTGTGAGAAAATTGTTTCTGCACAAATGGCAGATTTAACTTTGCGGAAATGTTTATCTGTAAACAACTGCGGAGCACGCCACGGAGGCAGCCATCAGCGTCGGCGCCATCATTTAGCTTGTAAGAAAACCTATCATCGGATTCTGAGGCATTTCTTTTGGCCTCTTTTAAAAACTGACGTTGCTTATTTTTGTTGCACCTGTTGCACTTGTCAGATCACTGGTAAACCGAACCAGGTAATTCCTCCAGCGCCGCTCGTTCCTATTCCAGTTGTAGGGGAACCGTTTGAACACGTTATCGTTGATTGTGTGGGACCCCTACCTAAGACTAAAACTGGTAACCAATTCCTTTTGACGGTCATGTGTAGTGCTACACGTTTCCTGAGGCGATTCTGTTGAGAAAAATAACAGCATATGTTGTCATTAAAGCACTTGTGAACTTTTTTTCTACGTTTGGCTTACCAAAAGTTGTGCAAACTGATCAAGGCACTAATTTCCTCTCTAAGCTCTTTTCACAAGTTTTGACTACTTTAAATATTTCTCACCGCATTTCGAGCACCTATCA